GTCTTCTTCTTCTTCTTCTTCTTCTTCTTATTCTTCTTCTTCTTCTTCTTCTTCTTCTTCTTCTTATTATTATTATTATTATTATTATTATTATTATTATTATTATTATTATTATTATTATTATTATTGTATACCGGCTGTAAATCCAGTCGAAAAGTTCTATTGTTCGTCAACATCTTGACTTTGGTCTTGTTCCAGAATTTGAGTTTTGATAGTTTTCATTAGTTTTCCAAGTTAATATCTCATCATAGAGTTCTAAAGAAATCTGGCCAAACTAGGTTTAACAGAGCTCTAGATTTGAGGAAACAGTGAACTAATCTTTGGTTATGGTGGTAACGTTACTGATTGACAATCATCATTATCATCATCAGGTGCCTTGCCGACTGGCGGGGGCGATCATGCCTCTCCATAATCCGCGATCTCCTGCAGCATGTATCAGTTCGTGTGCCGACACACCTCCATGCCATGCAACAAGACTGTCAAGCATCTTCTCTCGTTGTCTTCCTCTATCCCTCCTTCCACAGATCTTTCCAGTGGTCATTCTAAGCATTCTTCTGTAAAACCACATCTCTGAGGCCTCTAAAAATTGTTATTGATTGACAATACGTAAGTGAAATCAATACAGGCTAACTAATCACAAATACATAGCGTCAGTGAGGGGAAATTCATAGTACTGATGGAAGTAGATAAAGAAACAGATATTATAGGACACGCTAGACAGCACAACAAGTGAAAGTTGCCGCGACACCAGGACTGGAAACTACAGTTCCGACACCAGCAGCATCTGGCCATAGAAATAAGTGTACTTGCACATACGATCAGCTATGTCGACTACCATTAGCAAGTGAATATGGCAGTTTCTAGAGATTTCCACAGTTGTATTTCTTCTTCTTTCTGTGTCTAATAATTACACAAGCGAACATACAGTATAAAAAAATTTCGTCTAAATAAGATCTAGCTGTAATTTTCAGTTTAGGTATCGAATCTGAAATCATTGATAGTGGATAAGGAGCGCATTCTACGTTACGAAGTGGCTAAACCGTTTGCCTGGAGCTCTCAATGTTGTGAAATATCACGTTCGGTTCACGAGTGCAGATATATTATTTAGGAGATATCTAGGGGTTGTACTTGGAGCTGTGAGGATTGTACTTTCTGTGACCCTCTTGGCAGGCAGACCCTCTGTACAGAGACATTTGGCCAGAAAGAAAAACCTTGGTACAGAGATGTCGATCCTCTAATTTTTAATCACATTTTAACAATTGAAATCCTATAGTAACACAGTGTGTTCACATATTGTTACCTTATCTGTTCTTTAGTCGGCTCTGTGGCTAAGTCTATGTGAACGCTTCCTAATGCCGGGATGCCGGGTTCGATCCCAGCTGCGAGCCATGCGCCTTGCGTTGGTTTCGACAGTGGTATCAAGAAAGTCGACCGTCCAGAAAGCAATGGCAAACTACTGGACGTAAATTTGCCTAGAAAAACTACACAAAAGCCAGGGGCCGTTGAGGTTGGTTCTGCAACGTTCTGTCAAGGATACGCAACCAACCTTGATCTGTTCTTTATTTTGACTGCGCGAATAACAGGTGATTACAGATAAGAGACAAGACTTCATTGCACTGGGAGTTTATCCTATCGCTCTGTTTCTTCCGCATCGCGGGTGGTCTAATGAGGAGAGAGCCTCGCACAAAGCACTGTATGTATCGCCCCAGCAATGATCCCCTGATATCTCCCAAAAAATGCACATATATTTTGACTAACGTTGTCCGGAAACAAGCTTGTGACTTTGGATCAGGCTGTAAATGCCAAGACCTTTTCTCCACCAGGAAGCCGCCGTGGTGTAGTAGCTAGACGCCCACCTACAGATCCGAAGGTTGTCGGTTCAAATCCAGACGGCGCTGGCCGATTTTTCAATAATGATCTTGGCTCCCAGCGTTAAAAAGGTGCCATGCCAAATTCGAAGGAAGTAAAAGCGTGATGCTGACCACATCACCCACAGAGAGCCGGTTGCGATGATGTATAAAATACAGGTCTAGCCCTATATGCCCGATAAGACTTTAGGCGTGAAAAGGGTCCTGTACTTTACTATTACGCACCCCTTGCCGTGTGAAATGGCTGAGCCTGAAGAAGAAATGAGACAACTGTTTAGAACGTTTTACATTTGCCTGTGTCAGTATGACTGTCTTGTCACTGCTGACTTCATGAGACAGCCAACAATCAAGTAGGTCACGACCGCCTCGTGCACACACTGTAATCTCGTTTCTAATTTCACTTCAGTGATAAAGAAAAATGTAAAACGATAACTGAGTATTTCATAATATGCACGATTAAACACTGAAACAGTTCTCTGGGTTTTTTTTATATCCGCTGTCTTCGGAAACTATACTCCCGTTGTTAATGATAACATTTGTAATCCGCATCTTTCAGATGATAGTTGTATTTTAAAAGACACAATTATTATCCTAGGGCTAGACTAGCGAGACGATTGTCGTGTAATTAAGTGTGATTAAATTTAGAGGCATTAAAGACAAACTGCACATGAGTTGATTCAAGAATCAACATCACAGCACTCGGGGCATTCTTATAAGCGCTCCGTACTCATCTTCAGCAGCCAAGGCAGAGTTCCAATACCAATGATGCCAAAAGCAGTCTGATTATATGTCCGTCTTGCCATTCCTCTGAGCGTAGAGTATCGGCCTGATCCCCTCGTCACTCTATCATTCTCATTAGACTGTGATGACTCATTATTTGATACAAACTGTACACGTGCTGTGATAAAGCCTTAACCACCTCTGCCTTATCATGCATCAGTATTCCACCAAGCTGTGCAGAACCATCCCATCTGTCCATAACCTGGGGAAGAGATCTGGATTCTAGACAATGCCTCGGCATGCTAAGTAAGTTACAATCACGATGTGTGTGTTTGTCGTGTTCTCTAGCCAGCAGAAAGCACATGAATGAGCATGGTAAAGGAAATAAAATAGCAAAAAATGTATATTATTGCACAATTAAACATGGTTTAATCTCATTAAGCCCTTCCCTGACCTGGAAATTATTCGGGTCTTAGCCGAATGTTTTGTGTGTGTGTGTGTGTGTGTGTGTGTGTGTGTGTGTGTGATCTCCCCTGACCCATACAGAACACGAACATAGCAAAATATATCCTAACAGGGCCTCAGTCACATGCGAATAACGGACTTCCGGCGACTACCGCCATCGTCAAGTGTATCTCCCACGCCGCTACGCGTGGCGTGGAGCGGAGCTAAACTAGATGGCTGGGACTCACGAGCAAATAAAATGAAGGAAGCTGCAGGAGATGCGGTAGCTGCTGATCGTGGTAGATACTCTCAACGATGGCGGTAGTCGCTGAAAGTGGGCAATTTAAGTCTCCGGAAGACCGCTATTGACATGTGACTGAGGCCCTGTTAGGGTAATTTTCGGCCTCGATAATTTGGGACCGTTATTCGGAGGATAGCCCTGGGTTCTTTCGTAATGTATTCCCCCCCCCCCCCCCCGATAACGTCACATGGTAGTCCAACATTTTAGAGGGTGGTAAAAATGGGTTTCCCGGCTTTCTGATGCTTTTAACTACCCCCAAAAATCTATAACTGACCTTAAACCCAACCCACCTGCGTCCCACGAGAGAGTGCAGCCTAGGTCCCACGACTGCATGCAGCCTATCTACCACCTCCTGAAATATTAGACTGTCCTGTGACCTGTGGATATACCCTTTTTTGGGTAGGATATTAAGAACGCACCCAATTCTGAATATAATCTCATCGGAAAACACGTAGCCGGCACACAGTATTTGCATGGTCTCTCACTTCTCTTTCCATACTTGGCGTCCGCTAAGAAGGTTAATATAGCCACAAACGCATTTAGTTACGGTGTTTAAAGTCTATCCGCTTCTTCTTCTTCTTCTTCTGCGTTCGACATCAGTCCTGCTAAACATTGAGTCCCGTCTGGGTCACAAATAGGATTGTGCGTTTAAGGTCGCCACCGGTCCCCCATAGCTTCTCTTTCAATGTGGCTCCCTTGGGCCAGATCCACAGTCTTTGCTGGGAGAGGTAAGGGCAGTACTGTAGTATGTGCCCAGGGGTCTGTCTTTCTGCTCCACAATCACAGGCAGCAGATTCTTTTATGCCTCTCCTGTACAGGTGTGCTCGAAGACCACAGTGTCCAGTCCGAAGTCTAAAAATTGTTGTTTGTTCTTTCCAGTTGAGTTTGTTTATGCTGTCACTCTCTGGTCTGTAATCTCCATTCTGCCTTCTCCACTCCCGTTTGAAAGACTGCTTTAGCGCTGTTTTGGTTTCCTTGTAACTGTGTGGTGGATGAGATTGTGGAAGATTACTCCCAGCTTTTGCAAACTCATCTGCTCTCTCATTTCCTTGAATACCACAGTGGGCTGGTATCCACTGCAAGACCAGTTCTGCTTCCTTGGAGAGTAAGCCAATGTTGGTGCTTAGATCTGCAATTAGTCTATCCGCATTTCGCAGCTGGATATGACAAGACAGAGTCGTCATGCCCAGTAGTATGTTCTCGCTTCTTGTGCAAGATCAGCGTTTTTCTAGCATGCCATATATACACAAAATAAAGCCCCTGTTTGGATTTAAGATAAAAATCCGCTGCTTTAGCCTTTACAGTCTCTGTGTCGCCGTCTCTCAATTGTGGTTGGAGTCTTTCCGTTTGTCTAGATCAGTGTTCTCCAACCTGGGGGCGCGTCCTATATGAAGATGTGAGATAGTTTCGGAAAACGGGGAGGTGGGAGGCGGCATATGAGAAAGAAAAAAAAAAACAACCGTTGGAGACCACTGGTTTCGACATAGCTATTCTGTGCCTACATCTTAATCTAGCCATAAACTGGCTAACTTAGCAACTATCCGCCCAGCAGACGCCACCGACAGACAAGCTTTCTGTTTCCCGACAGAGAAGAGTTCCCAGTGTTAAGTTTAGGGTCAGTCTGTCAGTTCTTTTCACCATTTAATTAGTCAGCAAATTCTCCAGCAATGTCTACCGCAGGCAAAGTAAGTGACAGACGTGAGAAGTTCATGCTCATATACTAATAACTAGTTGGTAGCAGTGGCGTCGTTAATACCGTCTACTACATTATGTTATGATCTCTCTTTTTGTGATGACATGTCATGAGGTTCGCACTCTGAACTGTGCCGGGTTATCTTCTCCACGATGAACATTCTTCTATCACAGGGACTGGTGGTCCAGGACACCACTAAACAATGACGAGTTACAATGACAGGTGTATAAGTTCCCTCACATGATGAGTATCCACGTCTTCCTGTTCCAATAGCACCATTAATGAAATTAATCAGTCAGTCGGGTGCCGTCTCCACAATGAATTTTGAATTATTTAGTAAATAATTTACTTGAGTGGATCTGATCTACCTCCTGGTTGATGCTAACTGTCTTTTATCTTGGTAGAAAACTATCTCTTGATGTTGTCCTCCCATTTTTGTCGTTGTCTACCTCTTCCTCTCTTGCCTTCGACGTATAATACTGTTTGTGCAGTCTCAAGGGCTCCGCCTCTGTTTATGTGAATTACGTGTAACACAATAGAACTGACCAATCAAATCTTTTTCTTAATAAATGTTTGTTGGTACGTTGTATTCTAGACACAGCATTACAACTTGTTTATGATTGATGTTATGCCACATATGTTTGGTTATTATACATTTCTATAAACTGTGGTGACATTTAAACAGTTTGAGACACATTCTGTCCACAATCCATGGTTGTGGATTTCAAGCTGCATCACAGACATGGCTAATGAAGACAGCCTTTAAAAAAACGTTTTAGGAGTTCTTAGTTAGTCATGTATCTGACCACACTACTTTCCATAGCAAGGAGATTTCATAATTTAAAGGTGACAGTACAACAGTACCTATAGCTTTTGATTGTAATTTTTTCTAGAGCATCCTTCTTTCTTTCTGCTTATTTATATGAGTGTTGATCACTACATTATCTGTTTGTTTATGTACGTATGGCCTCAAAGGTTCCCCTCTATTAATTTATGATTTTTGTATAAGTGTGTTATCTCCTACTGTGGCTGAAATATAGGGTCGCCATGCATCCTCATTTTTGGGGACACATCTTCACTTCACGAGTAAATCTTAGCATCTACAAACAATTTTGGACATTCATAGATTTGTCGGCAGTTTTACAAATCAAGACAAAATTAACATTTTATGTTTACATTGAAAACTTTAGCAGTAGTGAGAGGTACTCTGAAATCGTAAGGATAGCATGGTTCTTCTTTGCTATTCCAGCACACAATGCTTTGGTAAAAAGACTATTTACTTTAATCTACGCCCAGTGGCCCAGTAATACAAATCATCTTAGTGTGGATTAAGTCAGGTCTGTTTCACTTATAAAATATAATTTTAAACATTTCACATGCAGGCAATTTTCTGAACATATGATGTACCAGAAAGACATTCTAAAAAGAGCAGATCGTCAGAAAAATATACATTGAACATAATTTAAATTTAATTTAATGTTACGAAAAGTATCCTCATTTAGGAAGAACAAAATAGGGCAACCCTAAATTGTTTTTTGTTTTTTATTTATTTCACTAACTTTTTTAATTCACAATCCTTAATCTATTTGATTGTGTTTATTTCCATGAAATAAGACCTTTTCTTCTGTATATCCACATTTTCAGAACTCAATTCAAAATTCAGTTCTTTTTCTTCTTCTTATCTTTCACCGGCTGTAAACTTTAGCAAGAATCTCTGGTTGTTTGATCATCTCTGGATTTTTGTCTTGTTTCAAAACCTGAGTGTTGCTTGCACATCCATTTTACATATTTAACTTATTTGTTTGAGGACTGTTGGTTCTTTGCCTCTCAGACAGATTCACTCTGATTCTCAAGGAAACCCCCAATTAGTTGACTGTTACAACATGCTTTTTGAGGAGGCAGTTGGCCTTTTCTGGATGTTGCTTGTTCATTGTCCTGATTTCAGGACTGACACATAACAGCGTTCAATAATGGTGGACAAATAGCAAGTTGGTTGACATGACCATGTAAGTATGGATATGGACATGGACACTGTCCGTGACAGACTTGATTGATGCAGCATCAGTGTATCAGTCTATATCAGAGCATGGTGGTTTAACACAGAAATAGAAAACACAAACAGAGGAGGAGATTTAACAATGATCCTGACTCAACACTATAGCTTGAGCATGAAAAAGAACAATCCATTGCAAAAAATAACTTATACTCAGAGTGGTTGAGGAACCTTAAATTTCATACTAAAAAACTGAGGGACAGCTTCTTTTAAAATGAAACTGCACAGTCTGGTCTAAGCTAATTCACATCATCTTATATTTTAATTCAGAGTTCTTGTCATAAAATATTCCCACTGTTAACCAAGCCATCTTGGGCACTATAATCCACGGCTGAGCCATCATAATTCACTGACATCATTCTCCCACTCATTCATCTTGCCAAGACACTGTTGGAATTGTCTTCTATATGTTTTTCCAGCTTCTGGTCCTCATAACCAAGGGATGTATTTAATTATTGTTTTTTACTGTGTTCTATCAACAGCCTATTACCTGTCGAGCTGCCGTTGCCTGGGAAGCCAAGAAACCTCTGACCATCGAAACAATAGAAGTAGCACCACCTAAAGCTGGAGAAGTCAGAATTCAGGTATGTTCAAGCTTCGTCTTGTTAGTTGACTCAGTGATATCAAATTTTGGGAATTCATAAGATTGTTTCCTGAAACTGGTGTTTGTGTGTATGTGAACAGACAGAAAAACCATACAGAGAGATCCTCTAAGAATGAGTTAGACCTCATCAGTTTTGACAAATAAACTGACCCACATAAAGAAACAAGGTTAGTTGCGTATCCTTTTACAGGAGGTTGCAGAACCAACCCAACAGCCCCTGGCTGTTGGGTGGTTTTTCTAGGCAAATTTACGTCCAGTATTTTGCCAGTGCTTTCTGGACGGTCGGCTTTCTTGATACCACTGTCGAAACCAACGCAAGGTGCATGGCCGGCAGCTGGGATCGAACCCGGCATTACGAAGCATTCGCATCCACTTAGCCACAGAGCCGACATGCAGAGAAACATCCACACAAAATATGTGGGAATATTAGTCATCCACACACACACAATTTGAGAGTCTGCAAATTCTCAACGACAGCAGCATACATTTAAAACACAGGATCCTTGCTTCTGTAGACCTTACATAGTATATGCACATGTGAAGATATGTTGTAATAAGGATACTCTTTGTCTCAGCTTTGCAAATCCATTTGTGTATCTTTGTCTGCAGGTTGTTTTCAAATATATAAGCCATCCCCCCAACTCATTTTGAGTCATTTCTCGCCTTGGGTCTCTTAAAAAAGGTTTTAAATTGTTAACAAGTGACGTATTTTATTACTGTTTGCCTTTTAGATCCATATTCTGATATTTTGGATGTGGTTAAATTGAGGGGTACAAGCTTTAAGACTAAGGAATACACCAAGAGCTTAGCATCTATTAGAACATATACTGGGAAGTTCTGTTACAAGTATATCTGGATGAGAATTCACTAAAAATGTTTTCCATAACAGTCACATGTTTATGTTGAGGCCAGGCACTAATGTTGAGCTCTGGGAGATATCAGTGGATCAAGAGGCGAATAAAAGATGCTGGCATTGGATAGGACACACATTGAGAAAACCTGAGAACAATGTAACTAGACTGTCTTTGCACTGGAACCCACATAGGCATAGACATTTTTTAAAAAAGTTAGTTGCGTATCCTTTACAGGATGTTGCAGAACCAACTCCATTAATTTTTTGGTTGTTACGATTTTTCTAGGCAAATTTTATGTCCAGTAGTTTGCCATTGATTTCTGGATGGTCGGCTTCTCGATACCACTGTTGAAACCAGCTCAAACCCTGAAGCTGAGATCGAACCCTGCACCTCAGCATTACAGAGTTTGTTCGCAACGCCCAAGTAACAGACGCCGAAATAAGTACAGACCAAAAAACACATGGAGAAGGAAGCTAGAGAGTGTAGTTAAAAGATGGGGGTGGACATGGGTTGAGCTGCATATAATGGTAAAGAATATAACGATTTGGCGTATTTTGTTAAGTATGTCATATATAACAGTTACATGTTTATATTAAGACCAAGGATTATGTTAAAGTATAAATTTCATCTGAAGACAAAAATTGAATGTGGTGATGTTTGTTTCAGATTCTGGCAACTGGTGTTTGCCACACTGATGCTTACACATTAGAAGGTCATGACCCCGAGGGTGTCTTTCCAGTGGTCCTAGGGCATGAAGGAGGTGGTATTGTGGAGAGTGTTGGCGAGGGTGTGACATCTGTGGCTCCTGGTAAGTGCATTCTACAAGATTGATTTTAACAATTTTGAAACAGCCGTCCAGTCTTTAGTTTTTTATTAAGAGTCAACTGTCTAACTGACCGTTACGTTTTATGATACTTCCTTTCGCCTACTCTTTTGGTTAGCTGTTTGATATCATAGGGTTAAAGTTGAGGGAATTGACTTCGTTGCACAGGGTTTTTCCCATATGGCTTGGTCTCTCTCTGCAGAAAAGGCTGGCCACCTGCTGAGAGCATGGCACAGATCTTGAAATCCTAGCTGTGCTGACAATCCTCAGAGGTCTGCATAAAAACTGCATTGCTGAACTGAATGACGCAGCCATACAACAAACCTATGATTTTCAGAGCACGAGGCAATACACAGTTACATTACTGAGGAGACCCCTAAATTAGGTCCATTCTTGTAGATTTGACCAGTGGGTACTACTTTGAAAGCACTATGCAGAGTGTGCAGTATATGGATGCTGACAATCTCCGTTGCATTAATAATATTTAAAAGTAGGGTTGTCAGCTGTTGAGCATGATAAAAAGAAGAAATTATTTATTTATTTATTGTAACATTGGGAAGTCCAACGAAAGGAGATATATGCACACAAACATGCAAGAAAACATTCCAGCTGAATTCTATAGTAAATAAGTAAGGAATTCTTTTTTTTTTTTTTGAGACTGTGGCTTAGAAGTCAGAAAATGTGTTTAACAGTTTTGTATTCAAAGATTTGATATGGTATGGAAGATTTTAAAAAGAAAAGGCTGTTTTCAAAGTTTTCAGTCAGTAGTACAAGAGTCACACTGTGAAAGAAGTGTGTACTCATCATGTAATGTACCCAGTGACAACAGTGGTACACTGTAGCCAACTTTCATTTGTTAAATGGCACATCATGTTTTTTTAAATGTGTTTACACCTTTATTTAATTCCATATTTTTTTCATTCATGAAGTTGTTTCCGGACATGAGTGACAGATTTGTGATTGTCATATCTCTCATATTTCAACAGACATAAGATATGCGGTTTTCACATTTTAGTTCCCTAGCTAAGATTTCTTGTTTTATGCCTGTGTCCATTGGCTGAAATAAGTACTTTTATATGTGTGCGTGTGTGTATTTCTTCCTCTATGGAGGTTCCCAGTTAGATATTGTTTGTTTACCAAAATCATAGGTAGGCCTTGCCCATTGCAGTTTGCCAGTATGCATAGTTTGTGTCCTTTAATAGTTCATTCACCATCAGACTCATATGAGAATTGGAGCATAGGATCCCCCCTAACTTTCTATAATTATCTGGTTATCACCCACTGTAGGAGACCATGTTATCCCACTATACACGCCGCAGTGCTATGACTGCAAGTTCTGTAAGCACCCAAGAACCAATCTCTGCCAGCGCATTCGGTGAGTATCTATCTGTAGTTTTGGTGTTTTTTCTCCACGACATTACTGGCCCTTACTCTCACAGACCTGCAGTACACACCTGGCTGGTGTAGCCATTTAGGGCGCATTCATTATAACATCTTTGGAGGTTGAACAGTATATATCTGGGATCTGCCTTGTTGCTCTGCCATCCAGATTGAGATCTTTTTTAAATCTCAACATGGTATGATGAAACTTTTGGTAGCAGCCAGAAGCAAACAAACCGATTGTTTGATAACACCATTAAGATTTGTTCTAAAATGAGTGTTTCCCTTGTAAAAAGAAATTTAAATTTTTTTTTTTAATTTTAATTTTTTTATTGTAAAGAAATTTCTTTTCACCTATACCAGACGTTTTGCACTGTAAACTTATTTTGTTGTTGTTGTTAAGAAGCATCTCATTCTATAACTATAAATTTGAAATGTTTGAAATGTCTGTGATACAGACATTTTCAGCATCACATATTTATGCCCTTATGTGGTTGTGGTTTCTGACTAATTTAGTCCTGTCTTACTGCCTCTGTATGTTGCTTTCCGTTATTCTCTGTGGTGTTTCTAATTGTCTTATGTTTGGATCTATCCATGAGATCCTCCGCATTTTAAAAATTATTTTTTAAAAGTTTCTCAAATTGTCCAGAACTTGTTTATTTGGCTGGGGGGAGACCGGATTCACAGCGCCCCTAACAAGCATGCCGTAAGAGAAAACTAATTAGATGTCACAACCAAGCTGTAAATCACAAGATGGCTTACTGCTCTTTTTTATGGTAAAAGCAGAAGAAGAAGTTAATTGTGTTCATCCAATGTCTGTGCTTTCCAAAATATGTGAGTGACTGTCCACAAGTACAACACAAAGGATTTATTTCCATAAAATATCTTGTACATTCTTTAGTGTGAGGATTTTTAAAATATTTTTCTTAGAGTGCTCGCTTTTCAGTCAAAGTTCTGATTTAAGTGTCTGTGTTATATGAGATATCTGCTGCTGCAGCACAGCAATATATATAGGCATGTAATTCAGACCTTTGTCATTGTTCTTCCACACTGTAGAGTAGATATGTGTTGTGTCGTTTTTTCTGTGATATGTTTACTTTGAGACTTTAGATCTACCATTGGGTTCCTGGTTCCCAGTTTTGGGGACAAAATAATAGACCCAGTGGCTTTTAACAAGCTCGTCATAAAAGCTTACTAAGGGTTTGCTAAGTCTGATGTGTTGGGCTGAAAGATGCAGATGTGGCAGCCTAGCTGTAAACCACAACACAATGTGCCAGCTGCCCTTTTCAGGGCAGACACAGAAGAAGAGACTAGAGGTACCAGAGTGGTATTTGTTTAAATGTTATATTGGTAGTTCTGCTTTAGTGGCTTGTTACATTCTAAGTATGTGAGGTGGCTTCTAAGGACACTGTTTTGTAGAATTATGGAGTGCCTGACAGTATTGTATCTAACTATTATCTAGTGCCACTCAGGGCCAGGGTCTGATGCCTGATGGAACCAGACGTTTCACCTGCAAGGGTCAGGAACTGTTCCACTTTATGGGCTGCAGCACATTCTCCGAGTACACAGTGTGCGCTGAGATCTCAGTGGCCAAGGTGAGGCATTAGCGTTGTTTGTTTAATTTGGCAGCAAGATTCAGCTTTTGTTACAAGTATTTTCTTGAAAGGAAAACTAAGTACTAAAGAATTTTATGTCTGGGGTTACTAGGGTTGTTAAAAAAGGTAAAGTTAGAAGATGTGAACCAGCGTCATTGCACACGGTTATAAAACATAAGTGCTCTGCCACCAGTACGGACAGCTGATAAGAAGATGTCCGCCTGTGTCGCAGTCCACATGTAACTCAGTAGCTACAGCAACGTTCCTTCATTTACCCCAGAGTGTCACTTCTGGTACCCATTACCTAGAGGCTGGGTGAACCCCGGGAACTGCCCGGTTTCAAACACCGACTATAGCTGCAGCGAGTCGCAGCTGGATTTGAAAGCGAGCCTCCTATTGACTGCCCTAAGAAGCAGTAAGAAGGGTTGGCATTAAACTGGCTGTCCTCCAGGGCTGACCTTATTTGGGAGTGGGGGTGGGGGGTGGGTAGACCCATTGCCTTTTATCTAGATGTAACATTAATGTGCCTCCAGACCTTACCTTCTGGAACAAGAACAAAATCCAGAAGTAGATGAACAACCAGAACATTCCACCTGAGTTTACAGCTGGTGAACGCTAAGAAGAAGAAGTAGAACTTGATGCTACTTAAAATTTACGTTAAAATATTGTTGCTTTTTTTCCATTGCATTCAGTCTTACTTACATTCATTTAGAAATTCCACGTTTTATTGGTAAAAGTGTAGTTAGTGGTCAGTAATAGTGAAATTTTTTGCTACCATTCCTTCACACTTCATGTAAACCTCTTTGAATTTCCCAGGTTGACCCCACGGCTCCCTTGGATAAAGTATGCCTACTTGGTTGTGGTATATCTACTGGATATGGTGCTGCCATCAACACAGCCAAGGTAAGGCTCATTTATCTCCTGTTACTTGGCAAAACCGAATCAATATGGGCTACAGTTAAAGATTAAAGTTGAGAGGATTGACTTTATTGCATCAGATTTTATTCCTTATAGCTTATTCTCTCTCTGCACAACAGCGAGCCATCTGCCAAGAGTGTTGCACAAAGCACTAACACTGTAGTTCTGACCACTAACACAGTAGCATGGGCTGCAAACATTAGCTCTGGCAACGATCACCATGTCTCCACAAAAATTGCACTTGTGAACAGAACGATGCAACCATGAAGCGAACCTATAACCTTCAGAGTGTGAGGCATATCGCTGACAACTTGGCCACGGAAGGACCCCACCTTCCCCAAGTATATTCTGAATTTAACATTACATGCTAAATAAGAGGGTATCTCACAATGAAAAGGAAAGGAAACAAATTTCACATGAAGTCACTGAACTGATGTTGTAGAATAGACAGCAAAGAGCTAAAGCTGAATACCTCCATAAATGATAGGACTCATGAAGCTAAACCTCCAGGTTTCAGTGCCTGTTCTTAACAAAGAATACTTTAGACAAGAACACAGACCTAATTCACGATTATAGGGATTTTTTTTAAACATATGAGCCATGTTCGTCCATGCCAGTAGGCAACTACAGCAGTATGGTATTCAGCTTAAATGTAATAACTGAAGATAATTAAAGGGTTCCTACATAATCTTTATCTTCTGAGAACTGAAATAGCCTAAAGAAATTGTAATGATGCTATAAATAGGGATAACGTCAGGGGATGACTGGCATAATTGAGTAAGTCCCTGAAAGCATGGGTTTCATGGAGATATGGTGAAACAACAAGAGAGAGTGAGTCACGTGTGAATGAGAGATCTGGGGGATTGAGAATCCGGTGGTCATTCGGTGACTGGGCCCCAGACTGGAAGGATGTGCAACTGAATCTGAGAAGATGAATCCAGAATGAAGAGAGCACGTGGATCTGAATCAGAGTTGAATGAATGATCGTGAAGGGCAGCTGTTGTGTTACACTGTTTGATTGTTGAGCCAGCCGTGAATATGCCAGTGTCCATCGTCTGAAGCATGTCTGGAGCATTAATGCGTGAGCAAGGTGAGATTGCCTGAATGGTGTAAGTTGATTCTACTGTTTGATTCGTGTCTTGTGCTACAGTGATAATAAACTCGTGAAATGTGTCAGCTGGTGTTAACCGTCGTTTGAATTCGTGTGACCGTGGAGAGAAATGCTTTCTGGTTAGATTGAGCTGTGACCTAACCTCTAGACAACAGAGTCAGTGTTGAATCTGCACTAGAGAGATCAAGTGTGGAGGAGACACGAGTGCATTCATTACAGAAATGTCAAAAGGGAGCACAATTTTTGTTGTGTGGAATGTCCTAACTGAAAATAACTGGGACAAAGACAATATCTGAAACATGAAGAAAATATTTTTCATAAAGCTGGTAATATTGTACATAAGGGGACATTAGTCATTTGTGTTAAGGTTTAATATATATATTGTGAGTTCACTTTTGAGTGAACTGATGTTTTCTTTTTTTTTAAATTGTTTTTCAAGTTGTTGCTGTTTTCTGTTAGTTAAACTAGTTGTATGTGATACTGCAAAACTCTATGACGTGTCCATTGGCAGGTAAGAGGCACCCTCCATAACCTCCTCCACCTGCTGCCTTGCAGAATAAGTCTATTGAGACAAAGATTATTGTAGTCAAACATTACACAAGCCAGTGGAAAACACAGTGAAACCACTATTGTATTTGCTTATGGAAAATCAAGCCTGTACATGAAATGAACTCGGAAATCACCCATGCCACTCTGCAAGACATGATGATAATGATGTTTTCTCTTAGTGATTCTTTTCATGAAGTGTTACAGCTGCAGTCAGCTAGTGGTCTATGTTTTCTCGTGTGTGTTAGGTAACACCTGGCTCAGTGTGTGGAGTCTGGGGCCTGGGAGCTGTAGGGCTGGCTGTCATCATGGGCTGCAAGACGGCTGGGGCATCCAAGATCTTTGGCATTGATATCAACCCAGACAAGTTTGAATGTGGTGGGTGAGGCTTTTTACTTGTTCTATGTTGAATTATTGATTTTATTGTTGTTGAGTTATTGATTGGATTATTGATTTATTTTTGTTATTGATTTCCTGTGTGGGAAATAGACCCACCCCCCCCCCCCCCCCCCCCTCCCCCCTTTCTCCCCAACAAACATGTCATAAAATGGTTGTTTCATTTGAACTAGGGTTGTTTCATTTGAACTAGGGTTGTTTCATTTGAACTAGGGTTGTTTCATTTGAACTAGGGTTGTTTCATTTGAACTAGGGTTGTTTTATTTGAACTAGGGTTGTTTCATTTGAACTAGGGTTGTTTCATTTGAACTAGGGTTGTTTCGTTTGAACTAGGGTTGTTTCATTTGAACTAGGGTTGTTTCATTTGCACTAGGGTTGTTTCATTTGAACTAGGGTTGTTTCATTTGAACTAGGATTGTTTCATTTGAACTAGGGTTGTTTCATTTGAACTAGGGTTGTTTCATTTGCACTAGGGTTGTTTCATTTGAACTAGGGTTGTTTCATTTGAACTATGGTTGTTTCATTTGCACTAGGGTTGTTTCATTTGAACTAGGGTTGTTTCATTTGAACTAGGGTTGTTTCATTTGAACTAGGGTTGTTTCATTTGAACTAAGGTTGTTTCATTTGAACTAGGGTTGTTTCATTTGAACTAGGGTTGTTTCATTTCAACTAGGGTTGTTTCATTTGAACTAGGGTTGTTTCATTTGAAGTTAGAATGCATCTGCCTGAGAGTTGAAGAACCAGCAGTCTGCATACAAATAAGTCAGACCTGTAAAACAGATGTGCATGGAAAGAAGTAGGCTAAGTTTTTGGTAAGCGCTGCTGTCTTCTTGTAGTGTTTTCCCCATCCTTTTTGCTGTGTTTGCCCATGCTGACCTTCACGGATCCATCTGGGTAGATTATGATGTTCTTCGGGGTGTGAATGCTGATCTGTCAGTGCCCTTACCTCTGTATCTACGGCTGCGGGAGTCTGATCTCAGCAGTATTTTCCTAGTGAGATGACAACCTTAGAGATGCCATGCATGTCTGCTGGTGTATTCGTCCATTCTTTTTCGTGACTGATCACGTCTAGGTCACATATCTGCTGGATTAAATCTTCAGCCTTGGCCATCCAGGAGCCGCCTCTTTTGAGGTGCTTTCTTTTTGTGTCATGTATAGCTTTATGCAGTGAGTGGTTAGCATCTGCCGATACTCTCATGGACGCCTTGATCTGTGCAACTTTGTATCTGTTAGCGATCATGGGCAAACCCGGCTTATCGGCATGGCGTGGCATGAGCTGTCTTTTATGCCGCAGAGTATGAGTCTTGTGGCCTCATTTTGTGCTCAGTTGTCTTTCTAGCTGGGTTTTGCTGACAGTGAGAAAACCCAGACCATAGTCAGTGATGTTTAACACAAGCTCTTGGTAGAGAAGGAAAAGTAGGCATTGTTCAACATCGGCTGCTGCTGACACCTTGAGTGCTGTCATACCTTTCCTGGCTCTAAGTATCACGTTGTCTACATAATACTTGTGCGACAAACGTCAGTCAAATGGCATGCCTAGCTATTTCATTGTGTCCATTCTCTCGATGTCCACACCACACATGCTTACGACTGGCATTGGTATACTAACAATGTGGGTATTCATAGACAACCATTTTAATTTGACGTGTTCACATGTGCTCTCCATTCCTGATGTGGTCAACTGGTCAGAATGCAATAAAATCCACCAGTACTTTAAGTGCACTTTATAAGAAGAGCAGGCTACAAGGCAAGAGAGACACACATCAAGAAAAATAAGGGTAGAGGGTGTAAAGGAGACACTACAGAAATGCATTACGACATTAACACAAGCTACACCTCAATCAAGGGACAGGAGACTACTCCTAACTCCTCTCTGTGGTGCTTTGCAGCGTAAGCATTAGGACAGAGGATTGACTTGATTATGTGGAGGTAATGAGTTGTTAGTGGTACCTGCCGGGTGCTTGCCTAGCCACCAGAAGGTTTAGGATCTACCACTTTACTTATAGAATGCCAACTGAGCTATACAAATATAGATCAAGCATTGTAGGCTTAATGTGTCAGAGGATGAAAAAGGGCTCTGCTTTTATTGATTTGATGTCTATTACATTTTATGACTTTGGAAGCTGCAATAACACAGTGGCTAGATTGCTTGCCTGCTGGCCATGTGTTTATGTGTTTGAATCTGTTTTCAAGCATTGATCTGACCAATTATCTGAAGTAGTCCCAGTCTGAAATGGATGCCAGAAAGTTTTTCTGGGAAACAAAGATGACTTATACGATACGACATCACCCATCAAGTACTTCTTCTTCTTCTGCCTTTCTATCCCCCCAATGGAGCATAGGCCCTCAACCAACTCACGCCAAGTCGTTCTATCCTTCGCCATTGCATGGAGCTCTCCCCATGTCCTCCCCATCTTTCTAACTTTATTCTCCAGCTCTCTTCTCCATGTGTTTTTTGGCCTTCCTTTATTCCTATGCCCCTATGGGTTATTCCAGGTGCCAGTTCTGGAGGTTTTCTAGCTGAGAGGAGGTACATCAACGATCCGGACTCCTTACGGCTTTCTCCACACCGTGTCATACTTCTTCTATTTGAAGAGCCTCCCCTCATCTTGGTTGGCTGGATTTTACTTGCTTCTCTTTTTGACTTATCCATGGTTGGTTGGTTTTTGTGGCTATTGTTTTTACAGGATGAGGTAGCCAACCTCAAGCCCAACCCTACCCTTAGTCGCCTCTTACGACATGCCTGGTAGGGTGCAGTGTCACTATTCTTTGCTTCCCGTGAGGCCCCGGTGACACACGGGCGATTAAACATCAAGTACTAATTTATCTGTAAACATCTGTTACTAGCAAAATAAAACTTGTTTTTTCCCCTCAAGTTTTGGGGGTTATGTTAGTAGTTTTATTTACTAGCATGAGCTGTTTGTAGCTACTTGTGGTAACAAACCCTTACCATCTACAGCTCGTGGCTTTGGTGCGACAGACTTCATCAACCCTAAGGATTACCCCAGCAAGACCATACAGGAAGTTGTTCAGGAGAAGACTGATGGAGGCTTTGACTACACTTTTGAATGCATTGGAAATGTTAACACCATGGTAAAGTCAAGAATATACATGCTGTAGTCATTGTTGCTTAGTTTTGTAATCTGTACCTATTTAACAGTGACACAGGCTTTCCCAATTGTAAAAATAAAAGAGATTGAAAAGATGAGTCAAATAACATAAGCTTCTTGGCTTTTCATTTTATATATGGTTTAAAAAAAATTATAATGACACTGAAAAGAAAAGTATAACAGATTACTACAAAACTAAGTGCACAGTTTCCAAGCTGCTTGATGCCCCCCCCCCCCCCCCCCCCCACCACCACCACCAGGAAGGTGAAAAACCCCGAGGCATTAAGTGAACATGTTTCACAATCTTCAAAGTACCCTGGTTTGATCTGAGGCAGACCAATTTAGAAAAAGACAGTTTTTGTGGTCTTACTTATTTATGGTTGAAATCTAGGCAGTGATATTTGCACCTTTCAGTTAAACATCTCCAGTTTCGGCAACCTCCTAATTTTACAAAATACTGTTAAGGAGCAGGGAGTTTATTCCTATTATCCCTGCAAAAGGGGGACCAGAACCAACATGGGAAGTATATAATGTGCATCTGCTGAGATCCCATAAAATATGCAATCTGTTGTTTGTCTTCATTGTTCACATTTTCCCATGCAAGTTCCAGGGCTCTATTTTGGAGGACACAGGATAAACCCACTGGCCTCTTAACAAGCATTTTGTCAGAGGAAACTATTCAGGGGTGTTTTCTTAAGAGTAGAGGCGCATCTGCCTGTGGCAAGGAACCAACAGTCTGCATACAAAAAAGCCAGATCTGTAAAATAGGTGCACATGCAGAACTCAAGTTCAGGATCAAGACCAAAGTCCAGAAGTGGACAAACAACCAGAACTTTCTGCTAAAATTTACACCCGGATGAATACTAAAGAGAAGAAGTCTGTTGTTTAGATTGACAAAGGAAAACATAGCTCTGAATTCATGGAGATATTTGTCTGTTGTCTGGCAGAGAGATGCTCTTGAGTGTTGCCACACACAAAAAAACATTCCTCTGAATTCATGTTGATACTTCTCTTGGTGTCTGTCACCTGGTAGAGAGATGCTCTTGAGTGTTGCCCCAAAGGAAAATATTGCTCTGAATTCATGTTGATACTTGTATTGTGTATGTCACCTGGTAGAGAGATGCTCTTGAGTGTTACCCCAAAGGAAAATATTGCTCTGAATTCATGTTGATACTTGTCTTGTGTCTGTCACCTGGTAGAGAGATGCTCTTGAGTGTTGCCACAAAGGAAAACATTGCTCTGAATTCATGTTGATACTTCTCTTGTGTCTGTCACCTGGTAGAGAGATGCTCTTGAGTGTTGCCCCCAAAGGAAAACATTGCTCTGAATTCATGTTGATACTTGTCTTGTGTCTGTCACCTGGTAGAGAGATGCTCTTAAGTGTTGCCACAAAGGAAAACATTGCTCTGAATTCATGTTGATACTTGTCTTGTGTCTGTCACCTGGTAGAGAGATGCTCTTGAGTGTTGCCACAAAGGAAAACATTGCTCTGAATTCATGTTGATACTTGTCTTGTGTCTGTCACCTGGTAGAGAGATGCTCTTGAGTGTTGCCACAAAGGAAAACATTGCTCTGAATTCATGTTGATACTTGTCTTGTGTCTGTCACCTGGTAGAGAGATGCTCTTGAGTGTTGCCACAAAGGATGGGGAGAGTCTACCATAATTGGTGTAGCAGCTGCTGGTCAGGAGATTCGAACTCGTCCCTTCCAGTTGGTGACTGGTCGTGTGTGGCGAGGCTCTGCTTTTGGAGGTTTGTATATGTGAGAAGATGGAAGTGTGATGGGAAGAAAATGTAAAGGAATACTCAGAAAAAAAAAGATGTAGGAATAAACAAAAACAACAAATCAATGAAGACTTGGCATTACTGCACTCAGGACATTCCCATACACACTCTGTCTCCTTTATCTATAGCCAGCAAAGTGTTCCCCTGTTATGTTATGTTATCACTGTAAACATCACTGCACATTGGGCTCTGCCATTTGTGCTCAGTCCTCAGCTAATCGTGCCAGTTGCAACCTGATTAAAAATTCTGTCTGTGCCCCTCTCCCCCCCCCCCCCCCCCAACCTCGAAATTCATATTATAGGTATTGTAATATGAACATAATGTGCTTTTTAATAAAATACATGTGTGTTCTGAAAAAAATTAGAGTTTGGAAGGGCCGACTGTAAGATGGGCCTCTGTGCCCAATTTGTGTTGCCCTTTGAAAATAATGTTTGTTTGTTGTTGCCCTTGGGTTGGATAGCAACCAGAACTTCTGCTCACACCCGCTGAATCAGAAAGGGGAGGTGGAAAGAAGGGGGTGGGGGTGTAAAAAAAATCCAGATCAAAAACAGAAAGATTGAAATATTTTATTTAAGAAACAGTTGTACAAAAGTATATATATATATATATATATATATATATATATATATATATATATATATATATATATATATATATATATATATATATATATATATATATATATATATATATATATAGAGAGAGAGAGAGAGAGAGAGAGATGTTATGTTGAATGGTTATTCCTAGGCCATATGATTAACACTGTAAGAAAGAGATAGTGTTCTTTGATTGTGGGATGAGAAAAGAGGTATTGGAGAATATTGTGATGACTGGAAAAATCAACATTATAAGAGAGAGAGGCAGACAAAGAAAGATAATGCTTGATGGCATGGTGGAATTAATACAAAATATAAAGGATCTAAACCTGTGGAGAGACATGAGCTCCTATGCTGCCTAGGAGGGCACATGATAATGATGATATCCTTAACAATAAGGTAAAAGAAGAGACTGTCTCTAGACAATGGTTGTGAAAAAAAACATTAACAGGCAACAAAAGTAAACACAATTAACTCCTTATGGAAGCAATTATTTCTGTATGATGTTATAGAAAGACAGAAAGGTGCTGCCAGTCATCATGGTGTAATGGTTCTGTTTCAGGCTGGAAGAGCAGGGACTCTGTGCCAAAGCTTGTCGAGGCTTACTTGAAGAAGGAATTGAAAGTTGATGAGTTTGTGTCTTACAATCTGCCTCTTGACCAGATCAATGAAGCATTCCACTACATGCATACTGGACAAAGGTCAGTGAAGTTGTCTTTTAATATGAATGATGCAGGTTGTCGTTAGGTTCACTGGATGTCACAATAGTTAAAGGCAGGATTTGACAAATTTTCAGGGTTTATTTTCACACTGTTAAATTTCTTTAGGAAGCATAATAGTGCATTGGTTAGCACACCTGTCCTATGGTCCAGTATTCATTTGTTCAAATCTTCAAAGCAGGTAGAGGGTTGAAGATTGGAAACTCTGCTTTGCCCATGTGGACAGGCTCGCTGGAATGCTCAGCATGTGTTACAGTCATGCTGTCTGCGTGCGGTGGAGAGATCCACGGTTTGACTTAAATTTGTATCCCAGTGAAGAAGAGCTGTAGGGATCATTGGAAGACATGCGTTGCATTAAAGCTTTCGTAGGGGAAGGCGGCCTCTTATCTGAAAACCTTTGGCATAGGATGAGGCGGAGTGAAAAAAAAATAACATGGCTGCCAGGTAAACCAGTCTACAAATATATGGGCTCTCGGTATATACCAAAAATACCTCAAGGTGTAGACATTTAGTTGCATCTGTGTCTTGTTGCTGTCTCTTGTAAACATACCCTATCATTGCTCAATAAAAGTATTGAGTCAGAAACAACAGCCAGTCCTTTACATTTTACATACATAATTTCTTAATTTTTCGACTTCTTACTTGTAATGTTGAGTTTCTTCTCCTTCATCATTGGTCATCTGAGTGACGTAATTGTTTTGTGTCTGTTGAGGTAAAAAGGTAAAGTAAAGTCGGGAGACGTGAACCAGCGTCATTGCACACGGTTATAAACCATAAGTGCTCTGCCACCAAATAAGAATTGTCCGCCTGTGTCGCCGTTCGCGCATAACTCAGTAGCTACAGCAACATTCCTCCATTTACCCCAGAGTGTCAACTCTGATACCCATTTCCTAGAGGCTGGGTGAACCCCGGGAGCCGCCTGGTTTCGAACACCGACCGTGGGCTGCAGCGAGTGGCAGCTAGATTTGAAAGCGAGCCTCTTATCGACTGCGGGGTCTGTTGAGGATACCACTGCAGTGTTGTGCCTTTTGGCCGACAGATTTGACTTTGGAAGGCATTTGGTTGTGCCTGTTAACAGTGTAGCTATAATATTGGCACCTTTTTGGCTGACACGTCTGACTTTCTAAAGATTTCTGGTCTAGGCTAGCCTTCCTGGTGAAGATGAGGATAATTTCTTGTCATTAAAATTTGTTGATTGACTAAACTTGGCTGGCGGTGTGAATTTACAGTTTAGAGATTTTACGCCTGCCACCAACTCAGAGAGATATCAAAATACTAATACTTTATCTTTTGCATTCATCCAAAGATGTACAAATTTTGTGCTTGTTTGTAAATGGCTGCAATATTTGTGCCTTTCGGCCACCACATCTGACTTCTGCAGTCATTTGTTGCCTCGGTCAACATCCCTGAAAAATCAATATAAATGGCAAGAGGAGTTTTCGTAGCACCGGGAAATCTGTCAGAGTCAAAGGAAATTAGGACTAATACTAAACTTAAAATATTTAAATATTTAACTCTAATGTCAAATCCGTACTACTTTGTGGAGCAGAAAAATGGAAAACATCAAAAACAGTTACTTTATAAACTACAAAGACTGAGCAACTCAGGCTTGCTCAGAATATAGGGAATTAAATAGTATGATAGAATCACTGATTTATAACTTTCGGAGAGAACTACAATTCCGGTGAATGAAGAGGTGAAGAAAAAATGCTGGTATTAGATAGGACAGGCATTGAGAAAAACTTAAAAACAGTATTACTAAAAGGGCTTACACTGGAATCTACAGGGGAATAGAAATACTGAAAATAAAAACACAGAGAGGAATGAGAAAGGGAATTTAGAAAGATGGGGAAGACATAGGGCGAACTGCATGCAATAGCAAAAGATAAGACAGCCTGGTGTGGGTTGGTTGACAGCCTGGCATGGGTTGGTTGACAGCCTGGCATGGGTTGGTTGACAGCCTGGTGTGGGTTGGTTGACAGCCTGGCATGGGTTGGTTGACAGCCTGGTGTGGGTTGGTTGACAGTTTGGCATGGGTTGGTTGACAGCCTGGTGTGGGTTGGTTGACAGCCTGGCATGGGTTGGTTGACAGCCTGGTGTGGGTTGGTTGACAGTTTGGCATGTTTGGTTGAGGCCCCATTAGGGATAAAGAGCAGAAGAATACTTTTGGCACCAAATGAGGCCCATAGAACTCATTTTTTGTTTCATGTGGAAAACATTTGATGCCTGTGATGTCATGTGGTATGCAACATCACACATTTTTACATCTCCAGTTTTGTTTCTGTTCATGATTCAAGTTTTGTTTCTGTTCATGATTTAAGGTTATAAAAAATGGTAAATGTTGAGAGGATTGATTTAATAGTACTGGGGTTTACTCCATGTGGCTCAGTCTCTCCACAGAGCAGTTGGTCAAGAGTGCCACACAAAACATGAACTACATGGTTCCAGAGACAGTCCCCAAGGATCACGGACCAAAAAACAAATACAAAATATTTACACTTGTGCAGTGACAGGGTTTTAAACTTAATCACAACCTCTAGAGCCCAAGGCAATCAACTGAACAACTTGGGCGTATTGGGTTTCCCATCTTACCTTTATAAAACTACCAGTCTATCCAGCATTTTCCTTTTCTGATATTCTCCTCCTCACACGCCCTCAATCTTCCAAATTGTTAGACTTGTTTTACCATATACTTTTATGACCCATCTTATGTTAAACTATTAATAATAATTGTGTGTCTTTGTTTCTCATCTCTCCAGCATCCGATCAGTCATCCTATATGGAGACTAGAATTAAAGTCTCCTTGGGCGATACCAGTTCAGCATGTGCACATGGTTAAACCAGTCTTCATTACTTATTTCCATGTTTGTTTTGTGTCATGTTCTGTTTCTCATCTCTCCAGCATCCGATCAGTCATCCTATATGGAGACTAGAATTGAAGTCTCCTTGGGCGATACCAGTTCAGCATGTGCACATGGTTAAACCAGTCTTCATTACTTATTTCCATGTCTGTTTTGTGTCATGTTCTGTTTCTCATCTCTCCAGCATCCGATCAGTCATCCTATATGGAGACTAGAATTAAAAGTCTCCTTGGGCGATACCAGTTCAGCATGTGCACATGGTTAAACCAGTCTTCATTACTTATTTCCATGTTTGTTTTGTGTCATGTTCTGTTTCTCATCTCTCCAGCATCCGATCAGTCATCCTATATGGAGACTAGAATTGAAGTCTCCTTGGGCGATACCAGTTCAGCATGTGCACATGGTTAAACCAGTCTTCATTACTTATTTCCATGTCTGTTTTTGTGTCATGTTCTGTTTCTCATCTCTCCAGCATCCGATCAGTCATCCTATATGGAGACTAGAATTGAAGTCTCCTTGGGCGATACCAGTTCAGCATGTGCACATGGGTTAAACCAGTCTTCATTACTTATTTCCATGTCTGTTTTGTGTCATGTTCTGTTTTCTCATCTCTCCAGCATCCGATCAGTCATCCTATATGGAGACTAGAATTGAAGTCTCCTTGGGCGATACCAGTTCAGCATGTGCACATGGTTAAACCAGTCTTCATTACTTATTTCCATGTTTGTTTTTTGTGTCATGTTCTGTTTCTCATCTCTCCAGCATCCGATCAGTCATCCTATATGGAGACTAGAATTAAAGTCTCCTTGGGCGATACCAGTTCAGCATGTGCACATGGTTAAACCAGTCTTCATTACTTATTTCCATGTTTGTTTTGTGTCATGTTCTGTTTCTCATCTCTCCAGCATCCGATCAGTCATCCTATATGGAGACTAGAATTGAAGTCTCCTTGGGCGATACCAGTTCAGCATGTGCACATGGTTAAACCAGTCTTCATTACTTATTTCCATGTCTGTTTTGTGTCATGTTCTGTTTCTCATCTCTCCAGCATCCGATCAGTCATCCTATATGGAGACTAGAATTGAAGTCTCCTTGGGCGATACCAGTTCAGCATGTGCACATGGTTAAACCAGTCTTCATTACTTATTTCCATGTCTGTTTTGTGTCATGTTCTGTTTCTCATCTCTCCAGCATCCGATCAGTCATCCTATATGGAGACTAGAATTGAAGTCTCCTTGGGCGATACCAGTTCAGCATGTGCACATGGTTAAACCAGTCTTCATTACTTATTTCCATGTTTGTTTTGTGTCATGTTCTGTTTCTCATCTCTCCAGCATCCGATCAGTCATCCTATATGGAGACTAGAATTAAAGTCTCCTTGGGCGATACCAGTTCAGCATGTGCACATGGTTAAACCAGTCTTCATTACTTATTTCCATGTTTGTTTTGTGTCATGTTCTGTTTCTCATCTCTCCAGCATCCGATCAGTCATCCTATATGGAGACTAGAATTGAAGTCTCCTTGGGCGATACCAGTTCAGCATGTGCACATGGTTAAACCAGTCTTCATTACTTATTTCCATGTCTGTTTTGTGTCATGTTCTGTTTCTCATCTCTCCAGCATCCGATCAGTCATCCTATATGGAGACTAGAATTGAAGTCTCCTTGGGCGATACCAGTTCAGCATGTGCACATGGTTAAACCAGTCTTCATTACTTATTTCCATGTCTGTTTTGTGTCATGTTCTGTTTCTCATCTCTCCAGCATCCGATCAGTCATCCTATATGGAGACTAGAATTGAAGTCTCCTTGGGCGATACCAGTTTCAGCATGTGCACATGGTTAAACCAGTCTTCATTACTTATTTCCATGTCTGTTTTGTGTCATGTTCTGTTTCTCATCTCTCCAGCATCCGATCAGTCATCCTATATGGAGACTAGAATTGAAGTCTCCTTGGGCGATACCAGTTCAGCATGTGCACATGGTTAAACCAGTCTTCATTACTTATTTCCATGTCTGTTTTGTGTCATGTTCTGTTTCTCATCTCTCCAGCATCCGATCAGTCATCCTATATGGAGACTAGAATTGAAGTCTCCTTGGGCGATACCAGTTCAGCATGTGCACATGGTTAAACCAGTCTTCATTACTTATTTCCATGTCTGTTTTGTGTCATGTTCTGTTTCTCATCTCTCCAGCATCCAATCAGTCATCCTATATGGAGACTAGAATTGAAGTCTCCTTGGGCGATACCAGTTCAGCATGTGCACATGGTTAAACCAGTCTTCATTACTTATTTCCATGTTTGTTTTGTGTCATGTTCTGTTTCTCATCTCTCCAGCATCCGATCAGTCATCCTATATGGAGACTAGAATTGAAGTCTCCTTGGGCGATACCAGTTCAGCATGTGCACATGGTTAAACCAGTCTTCATTACTTATTTCCATGTTTGTTTTGTGTCATGTTCTGTTTCTCATCTCTCCAGCATCCGATCAGTCATCCTATATGGAGACTAGAATTGAAGTCTCCTTGGGCGATACCTGTTCAGCATGTGCACATGGTTAAACCAGTCTTCATTACTTATTTCCATGTCTGTTTTGTGTCATGTTCTGTTTCTCATCTCTCCAGCATCCGATCAGTCATCCTATATGGAGACTAGAATTAAAGTCTCCTTGGGCAATACCTGTTCAGCATGTGCACATGGTTAAACCAGTCTTCATTACTTATTTCCATGTTTGTTTTGTGTCATGTTCTGTTTCTCATCTCTCCAGCATCCGATCAGTCATCCTATATGGAGACTAGAATTAAAGTCTCCTTGGGCGATACCTGTTCAGCATGTGCACATGGTTAAACCAGTCTTCATTACTTATTTCCATGTCTGTTTTGTGTCATGTTCTGTTTCTCATCTCTCCAGCATCCGATCAGTCATCCTATATGGAGACTAGAATTAAAGTCTCCTTGGGCGATACCTGTTCAGCATGTGCACATGGTTAAACCAGTTTCATTACTTATTTCCATGTCTGTTTTGTGTCATGTTCTGTTTCTCATCTCTCCAGCATCCGATCAGTCATCCTATATGGAGACTAGAATTAAAGTCTCCTTGGGAGATACCTGTTCAGCATGTGCACATGGTTAAACCAGTCTTCATTACTTATTTCCATGTTTGTTTTGTGTCATGTTCTGTATTGACAGTGTATGTTACTACCAGTGCTGTATGGTAGAAGTAACAGATATTTGTGAAACATATTAACCAGTATGCGTGACCTGTTATCCCGTATACACTGTACTCACTGTAGTCGGTATGTTTTTCAAGTTGATTATGGTCAGTCTGGACAAAGTGTACCTAATATTAGTCAGGTTAATTATTGATCACCCTGGACATAGTGACCCTAGAAAAAGTATTCTGAATGTATTGCTTCCTTCCCATGTGGATTCTGGGGCCCACTGGGGAACGGGGAAGGGGGAGGAAATAGACCAACTGCCCCTTAGACCATCATAAAATGTGACTAACTAATGTTTTGCTGAAATTGGATATGTTGGGCCAAAAGGCACAGATACTGCAGCCTAGCTGTAAATCATGAAGCAAAGTGCTAACCACCCATTCAAGGATGAACGCAAAAGAAGAAGAGGTCCTACTTACTTATAGTCTCCATCTGTGGCTGAGGAGTAATGACTGCAGTTTCATAATTTTGAAATTCCCAGATTCTGTTGCAGGTGATTTGACAGCATATTGCTTTCTGTTAATTCAAACCCTAGCACAAGCTTCAGTATTTCAGCAAGCAGTGGCAAACTATTAAATATAAAATTGCCTAGTAAAATCACAAACAGCCAACAGAAGCTGAGGCTGACTGTGACATCCTGTAAAAGGATATACAGCTCACTTACTTAAGGTAGACAGGGTACTCACTTTGTATATTCATTCTGGTGGTTAAACAAGTCAACACCTCTGGCCCTACTTAAATTATATGTCTCTTCCTAAACACTCGTGATTTCTTTGACATGTTTGTGCCTTAATATGTGATTCTCCGGGCAGTTGAAAGAATGTTCATGAAAGCTCTCTTGACTGACTACCACCTTATGCTGTGCTGCTCTAAAGGTTTGCGCTGCTTTAAAAGTATGCGCTGCTCTAAAGGTTTGCGGTGCTCTAAAGGTTGTCAAAAAGAGAGAGCAAAGATGCTGGACTGAATTCCATTTGTGATATCAAATAGACTGAGAGTCCTACGTGACATATATTGGCACAACAGAACCTTGATGATGATGATTCCTCTTTAACTGCCTCTAGCAAAATATTTTAGCTTCACAGATTTCACAACGAATCCTTTAACTGCCACAGCAAAACTGTGGACGTCAGAAACTTATTGATGAATGATTCATTTAATTCTGATCACTGGAGTCATTTCAGTTTGATTTCACACTGTCACATGATGTACACTGATTTCTGTTTATTATTTGTTTGAGATATGGATTTCACTCTGTGAATTATGCTTTAGTTTTTGTTGTTCTTGTCTTTGTTGATTGAACTTAATGTATTTCTTGGCAGTAATTGGCCACATCAAGTTACTGCCTGATAATTTCTGATGATCATTGTGTGTTTGCAGTATAACATCTTTATTTTATTATATTTGTAATGATCACTCATCATTGCAGATGTCAAGATAATTCTGTTATGGTGTTATCTCATTATATTTGAATATCTTGTAATCATTCTCTCTCATTGCTTAAGTCAGTCACTCCAAAGACCGAGGTGAAGCCAGATCAGAATCCTCCGATGTCTCATTGTTTAAGTCAGTCACTCCAAAGACCGAGGTGAAGCCAGATCAGAATCCTCCGATGTCTCATTGTTTAAGTCAGTCACTCCAAAGACCGAGGTGAAGCCAGATCAGAATCCTCCAATGTCTCATTGTTTAAGTCAGTCACTCCAAAGACCGAGGTGAA